ATGGGTCACAGCAACGAAATGTTCTCCATCTGTCGTCAGACTATAGATAACTCTATAATATCCCAGCCCGACTTAACAATCTCTTCTTCCAGCTCCAGGTTCTTCTCGTCGATGAGGTTGAGTTGTCGACGGTATCAACCGAACATTCACCGGAGATCATTAACATCCCCCTGTCCCGCTATTACCTTGGTCGCCACCATAGCTAAGTAAAGTCGGGCCGACGGGGACTAGAGGCCGTTTCTTATTTCGTCGCTCATGGGGGATGTTTGCCATAGTTGCGACGTTTGGCTTGCGAGTTGACAACCTACTTTTTGTCTTTTCAGCTGGTTTCCATTATTATTATTTTTATATGATAGGGTGACAAACGAGCACACAGTCCACCTGGTGGTAAGTGGTTGCTGTGGTCCATAGTCATCTATATCTATAATCGTTTGCGAATTACAATTCAGATACGTTGTCAGCCGTGAGGACTAAGATAGTATGCCTCTTTTCCAGTAAAAAGGGTCTCCGGTTCTTTACACTCACCATACGAATAACAGCAGCATTAAGCTGCTATTTTACGCTGGTATTCTGTTCAATATAAATTATTCAGGATAACTCAAAAACTGCTGGTCAGACCTTGTTCAAATTTATATGGGAACATGAGAAGCACCAGCTTTAAAGTTAAAAAAAAATCATCGAAATCGGTTCACCAAGAAAAAAGTTATGAGGTAACACACATAAAAATATACAGTCGAATTGAGGACCTCCTCCTTTTTGAAGTCGATTAAAAAGGAGTCCAATTGATTAGAATTTGCTGACTCCGTGCCGCTACTGAAAACTTTTTTAACAATATAAGCCAGCGCCCGACTATTATCCCACCCGATGGCTTAAGAAAAGCCTATTCACTGTTGCCTTGAAGAAATACAGTAATGCTGGCAAATTATTCCACTCCTTTGCTGTAGGCATTATAAACGATGAAGCAAACTGCTTGGTTCAAATGCATGGCATATTGACAACGAAGGGGTGGAGACCAGCTGAGCGTCCGGTGTTCCGATGGTGAAATGTAGTCATGCAATTTCTGATCATACTGCGAAATGTATCCTGTAAAATTGAAAGATTGGCCACTTTGGGCCTGTGCAAATTTTTAATTTTACCACTTGTGTAACAGGCTGTACATTGGCCAGCTTCATGGAATTCGGCACTAATTTAGTGATAGGCGAAAACAGTGCGGCACTAATTTGGTGATAGGGGAAAACAGTGCGGTCCAACACAGGATACAACTCGGGTGCACAAGCCTTTAGAACGACAGCTGTGAGCTGTTATACTTACTTGCTGTTATACGACTCATAAGATAATCGTCTACTTAGGCAGTGGCCATGGACAACTTGCACCAATTTCAAACGTGTATATTCACCTGCATAGATGACTTAAATGGAATCCACACAGCATGCATTTACACTCGCTTTCTACCCTTCAAGCCTACGCACTGCAGGAAATGTGATACAGACTCCAAAGCAGTATAGAAATTTACCAACTCATGGAGTGAAATATAAAAAAGTTTTAACGGAGAAAAGTGTTTAATAATGTCTAAATAAAAGAAACTTCATCGAATGCTTATTTTATGGCCATAAACAAATACGAGTATTACGGCGCGCAATGGTGGTCACAAAAAATGCGTAAAATTTTGGATCAAATATCGTTTTTATTCAGATCTGCGTTTTATTAGGGCCGGGCAAATCTTCGTATGTTTTAGAATTTCTTTTGACATTTCGGGCGATCTTTTGGTAATTGACAATTGGGGTCAAGAAAAATATATTTTTATCCAATATTACTCTTCAAAAGTAGTTTTCGTAATATTACAGAATACATATTTATGTAAGTATGTAAAGAAATTGAATAAGACCTTTGTCAGAGGATTGAGGACTTAATGGAGAGCGAGCGACTCGAGTTCGATAATTAGTGCTTGTAATAGTGAGGTTTCCTCACGTTTTTTATTCCCCACGATGTTTTTTCTCTCCTCGTAAAAAAGGTTAGTGCACGCAGAGGGTATACTTTCGCATGCACAGGTATTTTGATAAATTGCCGGATACGAGTAGAATATCCACCTCATCCATCAGTGCACCACGTCGGTTGAAGTAGGCATTTAAAAAAAATCCAATATTTTACTAATGTAAACAATATCTCCCTTCTTTCGCATTATACTTATATAATACTATATCCATGCGAAATTAAAAAAAATCCCGCACTTTTTTATAGGAAAAGGTGAAAAACGAGCACACAGTCCACCTGATGGTAAGGGGTTACTGTGACCCATAGACATCTACATCTATTCTCAATAAAGAGTCAAAATGCAGATGCAGAAGTGTTTCGTATGGTGAGTGTAAAGAACCGGAGACCTTTTTTACTGGAAAAGAGGCATTCCATCTTAGTCTTCACGGCTGACAACGCATCTGCATTTTGATTCGCAAACGAGGATAGATGTAGATGTATATGGGCCTCAGCAACCACTTACCATCAGGTGGACTGTGTGCTCGTTTGTCACCCTATTTCCATAAAGAAAAAGAAGTGTTAAGCTGCTATTTTACGCTGGTAGTCTGTGAGAATTAATCTACTCTTCTCTTCTGTAAATTTCTTAAATATTCTTAATAATTTAAATTCTATTGCCTTTTACCTAACCTGCTATAATACCTTTAGGATACTAAGCAGAACTGCAACCACTCTTGCACTTCGCTTTAAATTGTGAAAGTCATTATCAAAGAGTATATTATCACTACATTTATCGTTTAAAGTTACTTTAGCAAAAGTAAAAGTAATCTAAATAATTAAAATAAATGGAAATGGAACCGTTTGACTTGACACGTGCACCTATTTGATTTGACAATGTCGTTGACAGACACAATAACATAATACGAAAGTAGTAAGCAGAGATAACCGCCATTAAAATTAGCACCAGTTTCGTACATATAATTTTTAATACGGAAGTTGCACCAGCCTGGTCACTAAAATCGTTGCATTTCATCGTATTTGTCAGCGGTGACAACTGACAATGAATTAACTTAAGAAGGGTAGTAGAGGTGTCCAAATAAGGAGAACACCGAACTTGTCTGACTTTAATATCATTCACAAGCCGGTGCCAGATATAGCAACAACATTTGAACACTTATTATTTGAAGGAATTTGAACACTTGTTTGGACACTTATTGGCGCTATCTGCCAGACATGCTATGCAAATACATCTCTCCACAGTACGTTGATAAACAACAAACAAGATGGACGCCGATTTTGTGGATGGCAGTGTGCCTATATTATTGTGCATGTCATTATTTATTAAAAAAAATGTATCAAAACGGTTGAAAAGCAGACGCGAATGGAGGTGTTGTCAATATACTTACGTTACAAAGAGAGTATTAATTAATGTTACTTTTTACGATTGAACTTTGCGCAAGCGTGGCAGGCTACGCAAACATTTGAACACTGTCGACTTTGAACGCTTTGATGTGCGCTAAAAAACTGAAACCGCTCGGCAAAGTGCATTTTTGTGCGCACTTATTTGAACATTGATTCAAAGTCCCGTGCCACATATAGCTTCAAACCAGTGTTCAAATGTTTGAAGCTATATCTGGCGCCGGCTTTAGAGTAGTAATTACTCTGTGATATCATTAAAAATATATGTCGTTGGTTTAGTAGATAGATTGTTAGCGGATGTTAACCTAATCGGATGTTGATATAAATGAGGTAAACGGGTGATAGTTATTTTTAATAATATATTCTAGTACTTCATTCTGTAAATTTATTAACAACCAACGGAATCACTCGTTCCACATAAACCTATACAACATTTTTAAACATTCACAAAAACATAAGAAGGTACATCTTTGGCAAGTCGTATTAAATTTTATAGTGATAAACAGCCTCAAAAATTTGCCCTGACATGCTCCTTTTACATTCATTATAAATAAAATGACTGCCAATCACATGCATCATTAAGTAAAATCATATTTTTAACAAAGATCTTTGTGGCTTATAACTATAAACCAATATCAGTTATTTCGCAATAAACGAAATTAATCAATTCACTAATTACACTAGCTGTCTCAAATTAATATTTTTTTCTCATTAAATATATGTAGTATCAGATGTCATAAGACATCAATACATTTATTTGAGATCATCATTTAGATACGAAATAAAGATGTAAAAAGTAAAGTCGATGAAAGTCAATGAATTTAAGATTATTTGAGAATATATGCATGTTTTTATTTATATATATGTGTAAAAATTAGAATGGGACAATGCAGTTGTATGTTTAAGATATACATACCTATATATCACACGCAGTTCAAACTGCTTAGTTATGATATGTTTCTGATTGAGCTTCAAGCTTTGGGTAACAGACTTCACAACAAAAATAAAACTAACAAATCACTTAAAACAAAACTTAAACCTAAGATAAGTTGCATTTTACTTAAAGTATGTACAGTTTCGTTTGCACTTTCTGCTTTAGGTACATCCAATCAGACTTTATATATAAAAAAAGTATGAAATCCTAATTCTCACTCCTCCCAATACTGATTTAACCTAATCGAATTTCTACAAAGTCGTCAATTTGTAAAAAACATAAATATATATTTCCTTCATTTTTATATTTGGCATGAATATAATGGCTTAATTTAAAAACGATTTTATTGGAATGATATTTAAATTATGCTGAACATCTCATGTTATCATTTGGAAGGTCTTTGGCACTAAAACCTTAAAATATTAATTAGTAGTCTTTTAGGACCAAAGGCTTTTATAACTTAATAGTTTGCATTGATTACAAAATCACTTATATACTAACTAGGATTGTCTTAAGTCACCGAATATACGAGAGTGTCCGACTAGGTAGTCATTTACAGATTGCACTGACCCTTCTTATAGCACAATATCAGTACCGCTTATCACATTTTTCACATCACTTTTAACGATAATTTCCCACATGTTCCATCACACGCCATCCAAATATCAAGTGGCACTGGTCATACAAAGTCGTTCACTTCATTTTGTAAAGGGTTCTCGGCTTTTTCTACGCATTTTCTGACTGCATCTAGTACTAATCCAATCCGCCGGTCTACAGCGGCGAGATGCGGCTCCCATAAAATAGGAGACACTGGATCCGCTTTCATAGATTCTCGTAGAACTTTTGAAAGCGGCACGCCGTTGTGGTACCTATGACATAACAATAAAGGAGTTAGGTTAGCTACGTGATTTTTACTATGACTAACCCGTGTTTGTCATAGGAGTTAGTGTACACTTAAATAGTTTGGAAAACCCAAAATTGCACGCCTCATGAGCATTTCATTTAATTTTGATGAAAAAATAAAAATAGTGACGATAATTTTAACAAGAAAAAAAAAACATAGAATCTAGATAATATCATAGAATTTAATTAATAACTTTTAAACGGTATTGAGTTCAATAACAAAAATCAATAGGGATCCTCCTTAAAATTTGTGAAATCTTATTTAATACTATATATCTCAATTTATTGCTTACATTTCTATTAAGCGAGAAGAATCACCGAAGCACAGACCAACGGACGGCAGTCCATATATTTTTTCAATTAAATTTTTTGTTAATTAATCTAAAGTGAATCAATTAGAAAATAAACTAATCTTATTATTCAATTTCTGTAGGTATTGTAACGTTAATAATAATATGGATTTGATGTCTAGCTAAAAGTATAAGAACGATTTTATGTAGCGAAATTGAGGTATGGCCACATATCGAGAGTAGAGCACTCCCTCATGTTGTGAGGCGTGCAATATACAGAAAAAAAAATTAACACAGATTAGCCACATTACCCTGTAACCCTATATAAATGTGAGGAAAGCTGCATACCCATGATAAACATTAAAGGTTTGGTTTAAGACGTTGTACCATTTTTATTATCTAATAAACTCCAGAATTGCTAGTCTTGGTATGATAATATGAATCATATAATTTAAAATTAAAAATTTTGTACAACCGACTTCTTTAAATAACTCGAAAACTATTGGTCAGACCTTGATCAAATTTATATGGGATAAAAAAAGAATCATCGAAAGCGGTTCACCCAAAAAAAGTTACAGGTAAAAGGTAACATACATAAAAAAAACATACAGTCGAATTGCGTACCTTCTCCTTTTTGAAGGCGGTAGAAAATGAAAAAAGTGGAAAACACATTCCTATTAATCCCACCAGGTAAGCTGATGATTGTGTGAAGTGATTCACGGCAGTAGTCGAATGGTGGATTCGAACTCACTTTTAAGTCCGCGGTCTGCACCCTTAACCATTTGTTGTCGCTTAGTTTACACGTGCTGACAGTGTTCAGTTTTCACCGAGTGTAGTTTGAACCACAAGTGCACTCTCTACTTCCTTACTTTCATAGTCCGATAGGACGGCAAACCGACACGACCGGAGGGAGATCAGGCGCAGGACCAAACGGCTTTATGTGTTTTCCGGGGCACTAGGGTGAAACACCGTCAAACACCTGCTCCGGGCCGTTACCGACAATTTTGTGACAGAAAAATCTAGTAAATGATTTTGCCCCGACCCGGGATTCGAACCTGAGTCATCATGATTAGCAACCGCGTTTACGACTACTAAATCAACGAGACAGTCGCCTAGGGTTACATAACAATTATCAATTTTGGCAATCTCGCACGTATGTTACGTGTGAATGATAGACTTGAGCATTTGTACGGACTTAAGCAGCTTGGTGAGGGTGGTGTGGCGCACGAGGCAGCACTGCAGCAGCGGCGCCAGGATGCTGAGCTCGTCATGGAACGCCTTGCCGAACGCGCGCCCTTGATCCAGGTGCAGCGTGAAGGATTCGTTACCGAACATTCTGTGACAATAAAAAAAACTTAAATAATTATACACGCTCAGTACCGAACATTCTGTGACTATGAAAAGAGATTAAATATTTATACGCGCTCAGTACCGGACCGTTACCGTTACAGCATATTAAAGTTAACTGTGTAATGTAATGAACTGTCTTTAATCTTTTTGTGTGCCTTATTAATAAAAAAAGTCTACTGCCACGAGATAATATATATAAATATTAGATAGTGTATATTCTTTTGCACTGCCACTACACGGAAAATCGAACACGTGTGACTATAAAAGGCTTAAAAAACTTATACGTGCTTGGGTAGTTGGACTTGTAATGAACTGTAATGATGATGATACATTTAGACTAGATTTGAACATACAATAGCAGCAGAATGCTGCATTATTTCGAGTACAAGTGTACAGACACGAAGGTCTTTAGTAGTAATGAGGCATTACATCTTAGTCCTTATTCTTGACTTGATTCGTAATCGTTGATAGATGCCAATCCTGGTCGTCTGGACTGTCCATCTACAGGGACTAGCACAGCACCGTTTACAGCACCAACTTGCAATCAAGTGGGTTGTGTGCTCCTTAATCACCATTATTTATAAAATAAAAAAACATGCGTGAGTGTCGTGGAACACTCGGTTGGAATGAAGTTCCTTATTATTGATAAACGTATTATATTATTGATTAACAAATACAAATAAATGTATTAAGTACTAGCGACTATTAAAATGAAGAAAACGAAAAAAAATCTTCTTCTCCAAACTTCGTTCCAAAAATACAGTCGCCTAATCATTTTTATGTGGGGAGTCGTTGTCTAGTTAGCAATAACGATTTTTAATATGTGTAATGCATTAATAAAACCGAAAATAAATACAGATACTGCAATAGTTCTTTAAAAATGTAACACTATTTAATAAAACATCATCATTTTGACTTCTGAAAAAATATTTTTATCAGTCCATAGTTTAATTCGTGAATATTTCAAATCTCACATAAACCCAAAAGGTATACCGCTATCTATTAAAACAACAGTTACGGGTACACTCACTTTCAGTAAATAATAATAATATGTTTTAGATATTTACCAGACCTAATGGTTCAGTTAAGGGTATAAATTACGAAACTAAAAAGTCATGGCTTCAAAATTGGCATTCCACTATTGTCATATCATTTTCTCCACTTGAACTTGAGCCTCTACAATCATATATATAGAGAACCACTTCCAATACCGACAGGTTCGGTAGTCGGACGAAACAATTCAATACCAGAATAATGGCTGCATCACGAATGAGGCGGCTCGACTGGGGAAGGAGAATAGGAGCCCCTTTTAACTGGTAAAGACCAATTCCATCTAAGCCCTCAGGGGTTACAAAGCATCATCATTTTGGTTCTTAATCGAACATAGATGTTCTATGGGCGACAGCATTCTCTTGTGATGTTGACTGTGTGCTCATTCGTCACCTTTACTTCTGTGAAAAAAGGGTCTCCGGTTCTCTACAATCCATACCATACTATACACCATACGAGGCACAACATCATTAAGCTACTATTTAACGCTGGTATTCTGTTAAAGCGTGTTCCTTCCCCGGCCGAGCGGATACTTTCGTGCTGTTACCATAAAATAGCTGTAACATACTCGTAGTATTACACAAAATTGAATTATTTATATTAAATTACCTCTAATTTTCAATACATACTTGAAGGTTTCATAGTGATGTCGGTCCATGTTGCCAGTGAGAAAATCGAAGATTGACATGTCCATTAAATCTAGTAAACGACGACCTGAATCGTAAGGCGGTGTAGTGCGCACCTGTTAATAAAAATTTGAAAATTAAGTAGGTACATACGTTCTTAGTATGATACCCTTAAGTTATTGAGGATATTGTAATATATATATATATATATATGTTTAGGCCAAAAAATGGTCATTTTGAGACGGCATCCAATCACGTTCGACTTAGCAAATCGCCCGATGGTACCAGGTGTCACGCGTGTTGTGGGGAGGGGGCAGCGGAATGCAGCTTCTCCGGCGTTTGTCGCTGTCGGTCGAGAGGCAGTAGCTTGCTGCCAGCGGTGCAGTTAATTAGCGAGTCTAGGTGGCCGCTGCCGAAGTTTCGCACGACCGGTTTATGGTCTTGATTTTTAGAATTAGTGCGTGTTACTTCGCTACGTAATTGTGGTTTTGTGAAAACCGCCTCGGTAGAGGTTGTCTAGGCTTTAAGTTCGTGATAAGAAGCTTGTATTGTATTTGACTGATTAAAGGCGTCTCCCGGTTGATTGTTTGGAAATCATCGTTTAATTATACCGTCGCGTTAAGAGCCTTTTGTGTGTTGACTCGGTAGCTAGTTTACGTGTCAGCTAGGTTGATTTTGAAGTCTTATTGCGGCGTGGTGTTTAATATCGAACGAAGGAGCTTAGTGGTGCTTGTAACGCTGAACTGTGTGACTCATGAAGAGATCGCGTTAGTTCCCTATTTGTAATTTGGTGATAAATGAATCCGGGACATTGAATGTTGAACTTTGAACTACGGTCCGTTACTTGTGTCGGGTATCACGTGTTCGATTCTACGATGAATGTTGAATTAGGCGAGTTGAAGTTAGTTGAATGTACAATAAAGTTAATAGGCTGAAATAGTGACAATGAAGAAAGAAACTGTCAATTGTGGACGCCTGCTGGAGTGATACAGCATTGTGGGGCAGCATGGAAACCGGCCGCTGCCAGGACACCTCAGCTGGGCTAGGTCACCCAAATATACACACCACTAAACACTACTTTACATCTACTCTACCTACGGCCTTGGGGCGGTCTTAGATTCGGATCCAGGTACGTACCAATTATTTTCCTAGCCTTCTCCCTATTTTGTAGTATGATAGGTCATTTTCCATAAGGCCATTTGGGCCCGAACCCTCGGCTGTAACATCATTCATCATCATTACAGCCCTTCACAAGTCCACTGCTGAACATAGGCCTCCCCCAAAGAATGCCACAAAGCACGGTCCTGAGCCACCTGCATCCATCGACTTCCTGCATATCTTACCAGGTCGTCACTCCATCTAGTGGGGGGACGCCCTACACTTCGCCTGCCGGTACGAGGCTGCCACTCGAGAACCTTTCTTCCCCATCGGTTGTCGGTTCTTCGAGCTATATGGCCGGCCCATTGCCACTTCAGCTTACTAATCCGTTGGGCTATGTCGGTCACTCTGGTTCTACTGCGGATATCCTCATTTCTGAGTTTATCACGCAGAGAAACTCCGAGCATAGCCCTCTCCATAGCTCGCTGAGCGACCTTGAGCTTCCTCATCCGGACAGCAGTGAAGGACCACGTCTCAGTTCCGTATGTCATCACTGGCAACACGCACTGGGTGTACAGTCTCGTTTTCAAGTTTTGAGGTATACCTGACGAGAAGATGTGCCGTAATTTCCCGAACGCTGCCCAACCGAGTTGAATCCGTCGATTGACCTCTCGGTCGAAGTTGGACTTACCTAGTCGGACTATTTGTCCCAGGTAAACATACTCGTCAACAACTTCGAGCTTAGTGTTCCCAACAACTACCGGCATAGGTGTGACATGGACATTAAACATGATCTTTGTTTTGTCCATGTTCATCTTAAGACCTATCCGTTGGGAAACACTATTGAGGTCATTGAGCATAGTGCTTAGGTCCTCCAGCGATTCTGCCATAAGGACTATATCGTCGGCAAATCGAAGGTGAGTGATGTACTCGCCATTGATGTTGATACCGTATCCTTTCCAGTCCAGAAGCTTGAAAACATCTTCCAATGCAGCGGTAAAGAGTTTCGGGGATATGACGTCACCCTGTCTTACACCTCTCTGCAATTGGATAGGTTTCGTACTCTGGTTCTGTACTCGGATAGCCATCGTAGCCCTACTGTACAAGCACTTCAACACTTCGATATACCGACAGTCAACTTGGCATCGCTGAAGGGACTGCAGCACCGCCCAAATTTCGACGGAATCAAAGGCTTTCTCATAGTCCACATACGCCAGACATAGTGGCAAATTGTACTCCTCCGACTTCTGTACAATTTGCCGAAGGGTATGTATGTGGTCTATGGTGCTAAAGCCTTTTCGGAAACCGGCTTGTTCGGGAGGCTGGAAGTCGTCAAGTCTGCGCGCGAGACGATTCGTAATGACTCTCGAAAACAGCACGTAGACGCGGCTCAGAAGGGAAATCGGTCTGTAGTTCTTCAAGAGAGCGTTGTCGCCTTTCTTGAAGAACAAGACCACCGCACTTCTGCTCCACGCCTCCGGTGTAATGCCACCATGGAGGACGGAATTAAAGAGCTTCTGAAGGACTTCAAGTACCGGTTTTCCACCCGCTTTCAGAAGCTCCGCTGTAATTCCATCCTGGCCTGGGGCCTTGCCGTTTTTAAGGTGCTGGAGAGCCATTCTAATCTCGCTCAGACTGACGTCCGGGATATCATCGGAATAATGTCGGATAAGACTCGCTCTTTGATCGTTACTCACACTTGCGTGTGGCTCCAACGATGACGTGTACAGCTGCCCATAGAACCTCTCAATCTCACTCAAAATCTCAGGTGCCCCGGAAACGATGCTGCCACATTCGGTCTTCAGCTTTGACAGTTGGCTCTTTCTGGCAGACAGATCTCTGGCAAAGACTTTGGAGCCTTGGTTCCGCTCGATCGCTTCTTCAATACGAGCTGTATTGAAGTTGCGTAAGTCCCGCCGCATGCATTTGGAGATCTGTCTGTTCAGTTGCCTGTATGCTGTCAAATCTGTTGAAGAATGTAGCTTCATCTCCCGTCTAACAGCCATGAGATTAAGAGTGTGATCGGAGAGTTTTTGTGTTCTTCTGCGGCGGGTCTTGCAGCACTTAGCTCCGACCGCATGGACAGTTTCCACGAGCTTGTCATTCAAATCGTCCACTTCATTGCAGTCTTCTAGGCACTGAAAACGGTTTTGCAACTCGAGCTGAAAGGTTTCGGGACTTTGGATTATAGCACGAGGGGGACGGAGCGTTGACTTCATTAGACGAGACCTCTCCAACTTAACGTTTAGGTTCAGTGTGCCTCTAACCATTCGGTGATCGCTGCCGGTTTTCACCCTCGCGATCACTGAGACATCACTGAACAGTTGTCGCCTGGTCGTCATAATGAAGTCAATCTCATTTTTTGTCGAACCGTCGGGGCTCGACCAGGTCCACTTCCTGTGGGGCCGCTTCTGGAAGAAAGAGTTCATCATAAAGAGTCCGTCTTTCTCCATGAAGTCGGCCAACTGTTGGCCCCTTGGGTACCGTTGCCCTATTCCAAATTTCCCCACTTTCAGCTCACCTTTCTCTCTTGTGCCTAGTTTTGCATTGAAGTCTCCCATTAACACCGTATATTGGGTTTTGGAGGAATGCATGGCTCTAGAGATATCCTCATACATTTCCTCCACCTCCTGATCGGGGTGTGCCGAGGTTGGTGCGTAAACCTGTATGACCTTCAGCGAATACCGTTTGGTGATTCTGAGTATAAGGTACGCAACCCTCGTCGACACACTCTCAATCTTTACAACGTTGTTAACGAGAGACTTGTGGACGATAAATCCGACACCTCCTTGGGACAGATGGTCGCCCTCCCGGTAATAGAGCAAGTTGCCGGATTCGAGGATTACCGTGTCCTCCCCCTCTCTTCGGACTTCGGATAATCCTATAATATGCCAGCGTAACTTGTCTATCTCTTCTTCCAGCTCCACAATCTTCTCGTCAGTCCTCAGGGTGCGTGCGTTGTATGTTGCCAGGTCGAGTCGTTGTAGGTGGCAACCGAACCTCCACCGGAGATTCTTAGCACCCCCTGCCCCGCCGTTACCATGGTCGCCACCGTAGCCAGGAATAGCGGGGCCGCCGGGGACTGGGGGCCGTCTCTTCGTAACCTTCATTATGGGGGGTATATTGCCATAGTTGCCACGCTTGGCGAGCGGGTTGGCAACCGCAGTTTTTTATTGTATTTTGCCGTTACCAGGAAGATGCTGCTGCCCATCTCCTGCCTGTTTCCCTTTGTCGCCTTTTACGACACCCACGGGAAGATATGGGGTAGTGGATATTCTTAACCGCCACTACACGGCGTAACATATATATATATATATATGCACAAAGTCCACCTGATGTGGCCTATGGACATCTACATTTATCCTCGATTAAGAATCAAAATGCAGGTGCGTTTTCACCCCTGAGGACTGAGATGGAATGCCTTTTTTCCAGTCAAAAGGGTCGCCGGTTTTCTACCCTCACCATACGAAACACAGCAGCATTAAAACCCTGGTCAAGCCGATACATTTGTGCAGTTGTGATAATATGGCTGCTACGTGGCTCTATCACGTATAAATAATGTAATTATAAAATGTAACATCTTTCCTTGTTCACACTACACTGTGTCATTGAACTTGAATAATAATTTACTTATTGATAATTCCTCTTCCTTGCTGTTCCGTGTTTATTATCGATATCGTAATTAAATTAATTTAAACAATACAACTATGTATTTCTTATCAAAAGGGGGATAGGTCTGTATCTCCTAAATACGGGTTACTAAGTAACCTAACGAGGATACAGGATTCTACACATTTCAAATTAGTCCTCATGATGTATTGTATATATTTGTAAAAAGTATGTAAACTATAAAAATGTCAATAAAGAATTATTATTAATATTGGGGTGGGTATCTATAAAGTTTTCTCATCTGGTTGGGCAGTATAAATATATAATTGTAAATGAAAATGGTAAACATACATAAATATCAATAAAATAAAATAAATACATAAAAAATACATAAATATATAACAACCCAAACAGATGGAAGCCCTCGGCAGGGGAGACCAGACGGCCGAGGGTTAGGGGGAAAGGGAAAGAAACAAAATAAAATTATTATTATTACTATTATCGAAATCTTATGAAAAGAATGAACGCAAAATTTCTTGCTGGTTGTTCTCTAAGATCTCGTTTTCTGTAACGATAGTAGATTATGATTCATGACGCTCATTAAGAGCTTGTTGGAAAAAACAATTTAATCTGTTCTAACATTATGTTGTCTATGAAAAGAATAGGTCGCGCCACAGACCTACACGGCTCACGCTATGCTCTCTATTTTTTTGCCTCCAAAACTTAACTGCGTAATTACAGTGTCTACTTATTAAGGATGTGCTAATGTTAAGTTCATATATTAAACTGATATAAACAAAAGCCTTAGCCTTAAGGCGCAGGTTGAGCAAAATGTCGCGCTAGTCGTTATTTGTGCGGTTTTTAGAAGCTATCTACTTTTTATTTAAAAGATATATCAACAAATAAAAAACACATTATATTTCTACATAATCTTGATTCCATAAAAGCTATATCCAATTTTTTTTAAAACGAATAAATATTAATATAATCTCCTTACAACGAAACCACATAAATGTGAAATTATTATTGATAACATGGATCTCCTCGTAAAGTAAGTATTATTTTATTTTGCGATTTACACCAATGGATAGACAATTTATTAATAAACATTTCTATAGTAAATTTTTTTTCAAAAGACCAAAATTTGATTTTATTAAGAAATTATTTTAAAATCTGGGCATATTCACTGCTCACGGGCTTGCTAGAGTCAGTGAGCCCTGAGCTCTTCGACGCGAAGCCCGTGTCGTTAGAGCGTCGACCAGCGCCGCATACACTCACGTAATATCAGTCGATAAATAAAATTACTTATTAGGTTATTTATAGGTAGTATTATTTGTTTGTCTTGGGTATAATTTTTCGTATTAGTTATACATATATTTGTTGTGTTTTTTACTGCGCGATGAAGCTTTTTGCGTGTATTTTCTTTGAAGTAAATGCAAATAAAAAAATGAAGCACCATTGGCATGTAAGGTTCGAATCCATAATTAAAATTTCGATAAATATTATAATTTACACTATAAAAGGCTAATTCAATATTATCATTTATCACCCAACCACAATATCTTATTACGTACAGTACTGCCTCGTTGGTCTAGTGGTTGTAGTAGTGCGACTGCTGATCATTAGGTCCCGGGTTCGAATCCTGGGTCGGGCCCTGTCAGTTATGAGTTTTTCATTTATGTTCTAAGTTATAATTAGTATTACTAAGTTATAGTTTTTTGCTAAAATATAGTATATTATTTATTGCTTGTTTTTTCTTCTTTTTCAAAAAATAATTGAGTACATAAGGTGTTCTATACTTATAATTCGGTAAAAAGTATCTAAGTAGGTACTAATATACCTACTTTTTACTACTAAAAATTTTTAAAACTAAATTTAACTAAAAAGACTAAACTGACCATTTATTTTTTAACTCAAAACAGGACATGGGTTTATTTATACTCTAAAAACTATAACTTTATACAATTAGTGTTCACTGTAAAATTATATTCGGTATAGACGGTAATTATTAAATGCAACATATTTTTCTTAATTATTAATTACATTTGTCAGTGGATTAAATTTTCTTTAATAAAGTTGGTGATGATTTTAAATAAAAATAAAATTCTGCTCAAGTTTTTTTATTGTTATCTTTGTTAACAACATCGCCTTTAGAACTCTGGAACCGTAAGTGTTTCTTTCAGACGTCCACAATTTATTCAAAATAAAAAAAAATACTCTTTCTACCGGAGCATTCGTAGCAGGTAGACATAAAATATATTCGATTAAAAAAAATTATGTTGAAGATTGTTGACTTTGAATACTTCCATCCAACGAGTTACGGGACAATTTTGTGTCCCGGAGCTTTGTTTGGGGACAATGGGACAGGTGACCGAGAAAAGGGACAGTCCCGTTCAAAACGGGACGTGTGGTCACTTTAGCTATAACCCGGCGACGGCTACGTGGGGCAGTGGCTTAGCAATTAGTTGTTGCGCTGGGGGCCGCGGGTTCGAATCCCGCACGGAACAAGTATTTGTATGGCTTACAAATAATTGTTCCGGGTCTGGATGTTTGTCCTTGTGCAATTTATGTTTGTAAACTGCCTCCACGACACAGGAGAAAATCCTAGTGTGGGGGTAACGTTTTTTTACAATTGAAATTGAAAGATTGAACCCTTATACTTCTTGTTGATTTTTGTATTAGTACTCGTAGTTAGCTATATTACTTTTCAATACGTGACACGTAAAAATTAACAATAATCAAAAACACATCTACGAAACATCCTATTTATTTATTTATTCTTTCTTGCACCAAATATTTGTACAAAAGGCGAGCTATATATTTATTTACCTATAGTGAATAGGTATCTTTTAAACTCACAATTTTCAATGCTTCATTTTTAATATATAATTAATTATAAAATTTCATAATTAGATAATATATGAAAATACATAATTCTAATATAATGCAACTAATATACCGAATAAAAAAATGAAAATACATTTATCGTTGTACGCTGTGTGTATTTCCATAAATTAGTTCATTGATGTTGAAAAAATAATACTACGTTCGTACCTACAATAGGTGGTGGCGTCGTACATATTTCAAATAAGCAATATATTGAGGCGAGCGGCGTGCCGCCGGCAAAATGCTCAAGGTCGTTCGCATGGAGTAGCCCCTTAAAAGTTCTTATTTGCCAACATTAAACGACCATTAATTGTATAAATTCAACCTGTGAACGCGTTTATTGATCACCAAGAGATTCAGACTTTTTATTACATTATTTAAAAATCTCCCTTTGAGGAAGTATTTATTGCGATGCTTCACCTTTGACGTTCTGCAATTGTTACTAAGCTATTCAAGCTGAAGCTAAGCGGGTGTTCGATTTTTTGATGACACGACCGACGAATTTTATGGACGTGTAATTTCTCGAAATGTGTACAATTTTAAATATTCATAACACATTTGATCGACTCTCTGATCACGTCATTGATGTAACTACTTTAAAATTACATTACTTTTCGCATAAGTGTGATATTCCAACTTACACCACACATTCACTGTCATGTTTATAAACCATAATTCCTTCTACTAGTATGATTCGTCGATAGCGAACGCGTCGTATCCAAACCCACATCCAAATTATGATATCCTTGTACAGTACCCCAGTTAAAACATAGTGATTATATTATATTCTTTAATCCAAATAGTTATGTACAGTATATGCAACACAAAACTTATTAGTTTTTTTTAAAGCATTATAAATAGCCAGTGTCCGTTTTACTCAACGTCCTATTTTTGTTTTAATATTAATTTTAAAAAAGTCTAGAAATTTTCCGTATGTTGGCGGCCTACTTCCCATGTCGTCCGCAGGGTATCGTATAATATTGGAAACTCCAATAAGATCTCATGGTTTTCGATTGAAGATATAACTCTCGTGCGTATGTATAAGTGTTATTATTAAGGCAAATTCGCCCTGCAATGGAAGAGGCTCATTTCCATCACTGTGCTTTTACTAATGAAAATGAAGGAGTCAAAAAAGGTCATGGTCGTGCACACTTTACATATAAATAACTCAAATAAACAAATAACTGTTGAACAACAGATTGATTTAGACAGTTTATACTCCATTATAACAATGAGCAACAAAATAAATTTTTACCGTGTCACAATAATCAGATTGCAACTCCCATTGAGCTTTTCGCCGTTTGTGATAAGATCTTCTCCAGGGATGTCTCCAAACCTATAATAAATAATTATTTATGTGGATTTAAATCAAGAATGTCCATATTCACGATTATAAAATCGATATTAAATATTTCTATAAACTATTAATTAATATTTAACATTATTACATCAAGATGTTAAACGAAATTTTTAGTTGCAAGTTTAAGTGATGATTTATCATGTGCTAGGTGGTGAAGGAACACATCAAGAGGATTTCATATAATATAATTATAAACATACATATTGAAAAACTCAAATCGCAAATTAGTTTTAATGGCACATAAAAATGCTAATGACGCGTTGTGTCGATTGGATGTTTTAAAGAAAGTACAACTCATTGTAAGCTGTATTTTAGCTCAATGAACGTTTTCGTGTTTTGAGCCTAACATAATATATATTTCTAAAATATGTATGTTTCTAAAAATATTAAACTAGTTAAATAATTAACTTAAATAAAATCTAAGCGTAGCGATTATGGATGTGATCACTTAAAGTAAACTGTTTACGGGCTAATGAGAATTGGGGGGAGTGGATTAGTGCTATTGAATTTTTGTTCGAAGAATTCGTGATTACATCTTGAAATTATATTCATTTCAGCATCAATACTTTATATACAAAGATGGTTGACAATTACGGTCATAATTTCGTATGTATTGCCATCAATGAAATAACAAGGCATACTCGAAGTAAAGTCGTGTTATGTATATGTACAAAACTTTAGGCCTTGAGTCTGCCTGGGTTAGTGCCACTCCCTGACTTATTTTTGTGTACAAGGAGCGGTGCACCCACTGTTGTGTTTCGGGTTGAAGTTTAAAATAATTAGTATAATTCCACGTAGCGGAGGAGGGCTTATTTCTTAATCCTTAAGGATAGAAGATGTATCCGTGGCTTTTTTGTTTAAGTTATTATGGTTGGAATTAACCAGAGACGGTTGTAGCTACTTATCATACAACATGCTTACAGTCAGAATGTTAGCTTGTTTGTCGCTCTTTTATGATCTACATAAACAGTAAAAACTAGAAATTGTTAGATATTTTCTAAATCCAAATATATTATCACTGTTTTAAAAAAAATATATATTATATTATAAATAAATAAATACTTAACCTAAAATTATGCATTACCTTGCGTTCGGCCAACTCCGATGCTGGTAAAAACGCAGCGAAACTGCCCTCTAGCATGTCAGGATTGCCACAAATCGCATGTCCCGTGTCGCAGTAATAAGAACACTTCCCGTGGAAACAGAAGTTATTTGCTGGGGACACGAAGAACGTACGTAATATGTCGCCTTCTGTGACGTCGTAGATCTCTGTTGTCATATTTAGCACGCGGCCTACGACGGGCATAGCTCGTCGGAACCCTAATATCCTAAAAAAAAACAAAATAAATTTATATATGGCTAGATAAAAGTGTGTAATCCATTCGTTACACACTCATAATGTTGGTTGAAACACTTCTCGCTTCAGCGGGAAGAAAGGAAAATCTGTTAATATATTAACCGGTAACCGTACCGCTAAATAGCTATAGATTTCTTCATAGGGGCATATTTGCCATAGTTGCCACGTTTGACAGGCGGGTTGGCAACCGCGATTTATTATTTTTTAGTTGTTATTGGGAAGATGCTTCTCTGAAAACCAGTTCCTAGTTTGTCACCCTTTATCGCCACTTACGACAACGACAAGACGATAAGGGCTAGTGGATATTTTTACATCGCCACTGCCTAGTCCCTATTACATGAAATTAAATAAATATAAATATTTTAATAATGTTTCAATACGTTACTGTTTTTTATGGCTCTTTTTTTTAAAAACGTTAGCTCCACACTAGGATTTTCTCATGTATCGTGGAGGCAGTTTACAAATACAAATTGCACAAGTACAAACATCCAGACCCGGAACAATTATTTGTAAGCCATACAAATACTTGTTCCGTGCGGGATCGAACCCGCGCCCACCAGTGCAGCAACTCATTGCTAAGCCACTGCGCCACGGAGCCGTTTGTTTATATTAAACCATTTTTTAATATTCATATGATAATTTAATATAAAACTGGTGCTATGCTGCAAACTATAAAATTTAAGGCAAATTATTTGCCGTAAAGCTTCCCTGACGCTGCTTGTCATAAAGAATATACTCACTCTTCTATAATATAAATTATCTTACAGGAAGGACTAAAACAATAGACTTGTGACAATATACTAAAGTCGGTAATCACCACGCTTGTAGCGGGTGGACTTTTGGCCAGACGTTTCTTATCTTTTAAGGGCTTATATCGGACCGTTTTTATAAATTCTGGTACATAAGAGATATACTTAATGTCGTTAAAAGTGATTATAATTAATGAAGTCTATACCTGTCCAAGTGGAACGCTGCAATTTCTGCATTATGCCTCTCGTAATCCGAAAAGTAGAAATGGTTCGGCAAAGTCTGCACATCCCGCGCGAATCTGTAAACAAAACAAAACTGATGATATTGACTTTGTTGCTATCTGACAACAATCGTGAAATTTTATTTATTTGTCAACTCGAGTTGAATTACAACTAGAAAATAAAACCTGCCGTTTTTGCCAAGCGTAGCATCTATAGCAAATATCCGCCTTATTATGCATTCTAGGGGAGCATATGTTTAGCAATGGACTTTGATAGGACGTAATGACGATGACGACGAATAAGGATGTAAGTATGTGTTATTTACGGATATGAGACCGTTGGGGTAAGCCATAATAAGCCTATACAATACAATACAATACAATAACTTTATTTCAGGCATCAAGGACTTAAAAATTAAGAACATTGGCCCATAGCAATATATACCTTAACCTAAAAATATATATAAAATATAGACATAACACTATTTAGGGAACTTTTTTCTTTGGCGCGTCCCTGTATCGGCGAAACACTACCCCAGAGGGCCAGAAGTCGGGAGCGAGGAATGTCTCTTTATGTTTTGCAGGAACCTGGAGTACGTAGGATTTGAAGTTCGTTGACCTATTAGACTCCAGACGCTGCAAATGTAAAGAGACCGGATCCTCAATGCGGCATCGGCTTCGTTCTTCCACGAAGCGCAGGACGTCTTCTCCCGACGTACTTTTGTCCAATAATAAGCCTATGATTGTTTGGTTTATTATTTACTAGCTGTGCCCCGCGACTTCGCCCGCGTGTTATTTAGGGTTTTATTATTTTTGCGCGTAACTCTAATTCTTTTTCTAAAACAAAAGTAGCCTAAGTTACTCTTCTTTTTTATAGGATAAGGGTGACAAACGAGCACACAGTCCACCTGATGGTAAGTGGTTGCTGTGGCCCATAGACATCTACATCTATCCTCTATTACAAATCAATATGTAGATGCGTTGTCACCCGTGAGGACTAAGATGGAATGCCTCATTTCCAGTAAAAAGGGCCTCCGGCCACCTGCACTCACCAAGCGAAACGCAGAGGTAAACCTCTACTTCACGCTGGTTTTCTGTGAGGTCGTGGTACCACCCCGGTTCGAGCCGGCCCATCCGTGCGACAGCAAAAGCTGCTGCGTGGCTCTACCACTGTTAAAACTCTTTGTGAGATCAGCTATCTGCCAGTGAAAATCCCGACAAAATAGGTCCAGCCGTTTCGGAGATTAGCCGGAACAAACAGACAGACAGACAAAAAGTTAAAAAATTGTATTTTTGTTGTTAGTACCGTAGATACTTTCATATGCATTTAGTAAAAAGCTGTAATTTTGACATTACAAACAGACACTTCAATTTTATTTATTTGTATAGATTATATATATACGTTATTATTTATTACCTTTAAGCCAAATTTTTCACTAGTCTTCTTACTTGAAAACAATTGTGGATACATTACCGCTAGGCGGCAAAAGTAAGAGAAACTAAGAGGGTGGTACTGGTACTCTATCCAAACCAATTCCAAGGCCAAAACAATTGACGGATCCTAATAGAAACAAAACCGCGGTTTCGAATCCAGAATAGACTAAGTATTTGTATGGCCTACAAATATTTATTCCGGGTGAGGATGTTTGTCCTTGAGAAACAGCAGCATTGTGCTGCTATTTTACGCTAGTATTCTTTTTTTTTATAGAAGAGGCGACAAACAAGCGTACGGCTCACCTGATGGTAAGTTACTACCGCCGCCCATGAACAACTGCAACACCAGGGGAATTGCAGATTTTAAAAACGAATAGGCTCTTTTCTTGAAGGTCCCTAAGTTGTGGTAGTCGATTCCACAAGGAAGTTGTACGTGAAAGAAAACTTCTTGTAAATCGCATAGTGGTGAACCACCAAGCATCCAGATGGTGAGGATGATATCGGGAGTCGTGAAATTTGGCGGCTGAAATTAATCCAAACAATTTTTCAGAGCACTCCCCGTGGTAGATGTGAAAGAAAATGCAAACGGATGCAACATCTCTTCACAGCGCCAATCGAGCCGATCGAAGAGGACTCGGTCGTCGATGATTCGAGCCGCTCTGCGCTGGAAGTGGTCAAGTGGAAGAAGCTGGCACTGGGGAGCCCCAGCCCAGAGATGGGAACAGTATTTTATGTATGTAAATGGTCTCCAGCCTACAGGAGAAATCCTAGGGTGGAGGTAATGTTTTTATCAAAATAATAATAAAAAAAGATGTTTGTTCGTACCACACTTAGAGTATGTAATTACTAGTACATGTATGTAATTATTCTAAGGTTCTATAAGACACTTGCTTGTGCTTTACATAAGAGCATAGAGTATAGTAAGTAATACGAGCACATGGACTACATTTATTGCACTGTACCGCATAGAAACGGTTTTAAATTATTATCAATCACACATAATCTATACTAATATAATAAAGCAGAAGAGTATTTTTGTTTCTTTAAACGCGCTAATCTCTGGAACTACCAGTCCAATTTGAAAAAGTCCGATTGAAAAAAGGAAAGATAGAAGCCGGTAATTTATTCCACTCCGTTGCTGTAGGTACGTATTACAAAAGACGAAGCAAACCTTTTGATTCTAATGACGGCTCCGTGGCGCAGTGGCTTAGCAATGAGTTGTTGCGCTGGGAGCCGCGGGTTCGAATCCCGCACGGAACAAGTATTTGTATGGCCTACAAATAATTGTTCCTGGTTTGAATGTTTGTCCTCGTGCAATCTATGTTTGTAAACTGCCTCAACGATACAGGAGAAAATCCTAGTGTGGGGGTAACGTTTTTTTAAAAAAAAATGCGTGGAATATCGACAATAAAGAGTTAAAGACCCGCCGACCGTCTGGTTGTCCGGTGGTGGAAAGGAGAGGGAGAAATTAAAGCGTGTAATTCCTGCGCACACTCACCGAAATGCATCCTACAGAATACCGAGAGACTGGCTACTCTGCGTCTGTGCTCGAGGCTGACAAGATTGGTCTCAACCAAATCAAGGTAACCAATGAGCCTCTTAGCACGTCTTACCACTGAGTCCAATGCTGCCAGGTGGCATTTTGCAGCACCAGCCCATATGTGACAGCAGTACTCCATGCACGACCGAACTTGCGCTTTATATAAGGTAAGAAGCTGCCCCAGCGTGAAGTACCGCCGTACCCTTGCAAGGACACCAAGTTACCTGGCGGCTGCTGTGACCGCCCATAGTTGAGGTTCGGAGAAAATTCAACCCCTAACAACTGAAGGCGGTTAGTGTACTCTAAGGATACATTCCGGAAAGTAGGAGCCAAGGTGAGCGGGCTCCTTTTAGCGGTGAAAAGACACGATTGTGTTTTGGAGGCGTTAAATCTCACGAGATTGGCATCGCCAAGCTCACACGCTTAACCATAGCCTCTCTTTCTGACTGGATTTGATCCTGACAGGCCCGGGCACTTGGTTGGTATCTCTTCACAAATGTGCTGTCGTCTGCATACCCATAGATACCGGGAATGAGTAGATCATTTATATGCAGCAGGAAGAGAGTTGCGGAGAGAACGGATCCCTGAGGAACACCGGCGTTATTCGCCACAGTATCGGATGAGCCATAAGCTACAATAAGGTAATTAGTGACAAAAAATTATTGAAAATTAAAAAGTGATTTATGAGCGTTATTATTAGGCATGGAATATTAACCCTTACGAACGAAAGTTACTTCATCATTATGACAATTTTATGAAGATAATCTTTGCTCTTAATAGCATGTTATTTGAATGTATAGTTTAAGAGATAATGAAAAATTAAAATAATGAATAATGAACATATCTGTTCGGAGCGCGAACGGCCGCTTAGGTCACAGGGAAAAAATTGCTATTGCCGTTGCGTCGTCAGGTATTTTTTTTAAATTATTTTCTCTTATCTTTTCTTTTTAAAAACGAGAACTTCTTGAACGAGACAGTGTGTGTTCTATCCGTAAAACTGGCCGGTTGAGTAAAATCTTGCAAGATGCCAGTCTAATAATATGGGATGAGTGCACCATGACTCATAGAGCTCACGTAGAGGCATTAGATAGAACTCACAGAGACATAAGTAGCACAAATAAAGTTATAGGTGGAATTACTTTTATGTTTTCTGGTGATTTCAGACAAATTATGCCACTAATAGTTAGGGGAACTAGAGCAGATATTATTAAATCTTGCTTAAAACCTTACGCTTTGTGCAAATCCCTTTGTGGAGAAAACACAGATTTCTCAATAAAAGCTAATATTTATTGGTAATGGGAAAGTACCTGAGTCAACCCAAAAAACTATCCATTGATAAAGACCTTGGTGAAATCGTAGCCATCACTGAAGACCTAATTTTTAGAGTATACCCGGATGTCGCTAATATAAACTAAACAAATTATCAATGGATGTGTAAAATGGCAATTTTAGCCGGCAAAAATACAATCTTTGACGCCAACAACGATAAAATAATGGCCAAACTACCAGGCCACAATATAAACTATCTTGCTATTACATATGATACTGTCATGGATCAAGAAGACGCGCCTTAAGAATTTTTAAATTCTTTGAATACTTGCGGGCTGCCCCCATATTCATTGAACTTTAAAAGTGGCACTCCCATTATTTTATTACGAAACCTGCAGCAACCAAGTCTATGAAACGGAACTAGGCTTCAAGTTAAATTTCTTAGAAATAATATCATAGTTGCTATAGTTTTGACTGGGCCAGCAGTTGAGCAAACGGTGCTAATACCTTGAATTCTTATGATACCTACAGATTTACCATTTAGTTCTAAAATAATACAATTTCCCATAAAAGTATCTATCGTTTGCAGTCACTATAAATAAAGCACAGGGACAGACTTTCAAGCACGTTGGGATAGATTTAAGTAAATGCTGTTTTCCCATGGGCTGTTATATGTTGGCTTATCTAGAATAGGATGCGGTGAAAATCAATATATTTTAATACCAAATAAAAGGTTATTAAAAATATTGTCTATGCTGAAGTACTATAAATCAATTAATCAATCAGTAATTCCTTAAATTATCTAACGAGGTTGAATCCGCGGGGCACAGCTTTT